GAATGCTGTCACACCTGTTTATGTTTGCGAGACAGTGAAATGTGAGGAGTGAAGACGGATGGATTAATGGGGCTTTGGTGGCAGCAGAGTTGTACTCACGCTCGTCATTCACATAAAAATGCTGTTGTGCAGGTGGTTTAGGCGGAGGTTCAGGGGTCGGTATTCTTGGAGCGTCTGCAAAACAAGACATGTAATCACAGTTATTAAAGGCTGATATAATGGCCAAGGTGCTCAATAGGCTTTGCACTGAAGGAAATCACCTAAGCCCCTAGCTACAGCAGGCAGAATAGACGCTTGTTGTATGCATTGTTTAAAATTGAACATATACAGTACGGTATGTTCAGTATAACAAAGGTTAACATGGAGACTGTTTCATGCTAGTTATAGGGATGGCATTGTTGGTCGGTTCAGACTGTTGGATGGATTTCCAGGAAATTTTTTAAAGACATTCATGGTCCTCAGAGGATGAATCCCACTACCTTTGGTGGTCTTCTGACTTTTCCTCTAGTGTCACCATGAAGTTCTTATAGAACTTATCGTATAATTATATTAGGAATTATACATGACTGATTACCCAGATTTGAGAACACTCTCCTTGATGATAAGGACTCAGTAAAACAAGCCAAAACAAATCCACTCTTTGGTTCAACTACAACCAGGACACAAATGCAACTTGTGAAGAAAGGCATCAAGCAAGCGTTGCATTGTTTTAAGGCGTCACAAAGGTTGGAAACCACTGCTGTGACTGTAGTATTTACTTGAGTTACAAAAGTCCGAAGCAAAACAAAACTTTGTAGAGGACTTTATACCTGCCGCACAAAGGCTCTAAAGCAACAACCCATGAGTGATTGGGTGGCTGTGGGCAAGCAGACTCACAAAGCTACCATACCTCCACAGCAAAACATCAGTGTTATCTCTACACCCACTGACACAAAGAGAGTAAACCAACCACTTAGGATTTTCCAGAAAGTACTGATGTGTTAGGTTTGAAATATTTAACATTTTAGTTGTTGAATTGATTTATATTATAATAAAAAGAATCAACTCAAAGTCATGGCCTCAGCAAACAGGTGTGGCAGACAGTGCAAACAGTGTGGTGGCTGTTAGCGTGCTCTTGTGTTAGGAAACAGTACCTTTTTTAGTGGGTACACTTGGTGGGACGAGGTTCGTCGGGGCCTGCTGAACGCTCATTTCTCCGTTTTCATGATCTTTACGAATAAAAGCTGATTAAAAAAAAAAGAATTAGTCGTGCATACTTTTGGGTAAATGTATGTGGAATAATAATTATACAGCTTAAAGGGTCACCTTAAATTCAAAGTGAGGGAGCGAAAGGAAGGCAAAAACAAAATATAAATAGGATAAATAGAATAAATAGGGTGAAAGAGAAAAGTAAGATGTTTTTTAGTACGTACAGATGTTTATCTCATAGATTTCCTCAGTGATGAGAGGAGTCAGAATTCCTTCAGTATTTTCCACTAAATAGTTGATGACATCGTGTAGCGTGGCACACGGGACCTGCACGGAGAACGACTTTTCTTTAACATCTCAGGAACAATTAAATACTTGCAGGGATATGAAACAGGTTGCGACATTAAAATTGAGTTAAATTACTGATCATGTGTCATTAGTAATGAGAAGGAATCTGGAACTTGGTCCACACACACACACACATGCATGCATGCCTTAATTATTGCCTGCAGTGTAATACAAACATCAGAGGTGACTCAAACGGAAATGAAACTACAAGCTCTGTGTTTACGGGTAATCAGTTTCTTCACAGGAAGTCACATGTTACAATTAATCGGAAATTCACTTCCACCTTTCATCTGAACAAGAACAAACTCCAGCTATGAAGTGTAACTGGTTCTTCTCACGTACTGTTCTTCTTAGCTCAAGTTGCATACGGGAAAAGCTCATTTACAAAAGTATATATGTAAACACAGCTGAATTTATCAGCCAGTAAAAAGGCAGTTTCCTGTCTACAGTATTATCCAAGGACAACAAAGGTTTCGTCTTTCGAGACCAGACCTCAGTCCTTTAACTGTGGCACCTATAGTACAAAGTACATGAGCGTGTTTCTTTTTTATACTTACAGGAACGTCCACATCAATGACGAAGCCCCCTTCGTCTTTAGGAGTCACGCGGTAGTGGCTGATTTTAGAGCTGATGGAGAAAGAGAGAGGGAGTCAATTAAAACACAAATGAAATAAACAGACAAACAGATTACAAACCGTCATCACATGCTAGAACAACACATGTGCAAAGATAAGTCAGATTCAGTGTCATTTTACCGTTTATATTTTCTTCTAATAGCACAAAGTACTCCATTAAGTGATGATGCAGTTTTTGTAATATGTACGCCTATGTAATAGATCTGTGTGGTAGAGTGTGTGTTTATGCCTTGAGTATGTGTGTGTGTGTGTGTGTGTGTGTGTGTGTACCCTTCAATGTCCTGTCTGGTGGTGACAGCGAAGGTGTTTGCGATACTCCCGGGTCTCAGCAGCAGGTTTCCTCTCTCGGCCTCTCTCTCCAGCACCAGCGCTGCCTCCAGACGGGTCACGCGGTGGAAACAACTGCAGAGACGCCAGAAAACACAGAAGACATGAGACAAAAAATAAAGAACATAACGGACATAAAATTGATTTTACTAGTGATACATCGAGACCCCACACACAGAGTTTGTAAATAGGAGAAAGTGTGAATTAAAATCCACATCATCAGCCAAAACCTCATTGAATTAAAAACATTATGGCCTTGATTCAAGCCTCATAATGCTGCATTTAGTTTACATAAATAAATGGGGTTTTAGATGATTTATTTCACATTTAATCCTTCTGTTTATCTGAAACGTAACATAGAACAATATGCTAAATTGTGTCCATTTTGTAACTGCTGGTAAAGCAACACACAAGACTCAAAGCTGAATTGAGATACTACATTTATTTTTTTACCAACATGCTTTAAGTCCAATACATAACACTGTTTTTGTCCTGGATTCTGCTTAAACTGTAGCCCATTATCTATTCTGCATGTGGTTAAAGTTTCACAATTGAGGAAGCAAACCAAAGATAGATAGATTCATTAAACACTGAAATACTTAAAACACCTTTGCTTCAAAATGCTCCTCTCAAATATGAATTTTTGTTTCCCGGTATCCATTTCCACAAGAATCAGACAAACAATCCAACAACCCAAAGCAATAACACGACCTCTTTGGCAGAGGTAATAACCAATATTTCACTTGTGCAATGAGCATCAATACTTTTACGTCTTTGTTTGTACTCACGCTGGCATGTCTCTTTTGAGGCTGTTGTGAGCGCTGGTGTTTATTCTTGCTTTTTCCGTTTCCACTGTCTCTTTTAGCATGTGGATCTGGCCTGGGAGCAGGTTGAGGGAGGCAGGTACTGAAAGCTGTATAGGGACAGTTTCTGCTTTAATTCATCAGTGAAAATAAGGGCCTGATGTTCCAAACTTACATCATGAAAACACTTTATTTGTTCTTTCTTCCTCCTGTAAAGTGAGCTGAATGTAAAGCTCCACTGACCTCGGCCACAGAGCGGATAAAGCCCTTCCACAGCTCACGAGCCTCAGCGTTAGGAGCCTGCAGACACGACGGAGGAGAGAAAACAACTGTGAAAATGAGGAATAACAAAAAAATAAATGAGGATGATTTTACATATTTCCTGCATATTCCCTCACAGTGAATCTAATATTGTCATCTTTCAACTGGAGATTGAGTCTGGCTGCATCCAAGTTACGATCCTGGCTGTTGTCATCCATTATTGACACCAATCCCCTGAGATCCACTTTGTCGATGTACTGATGAAACACACGAAGACACAAAGATTCATTAATAATCATCCAAATCTCTGTCTGTTAAGAACACACATCTCTGTGATAACTTACATCAGCGTCTTTCATCTCATTGAAGAAGAACAGCGTGTTTCCACACAGGCAGGTCCACAGTTTCCGAGATGTCTGCAGAAACACACACAGAGAAAGACATACTGACTAAACGATAACATATATATACATATATACACATATATACATACATATACATATATATATATATATATATATACATA